TTGAATAAACAAGTGAATACTTTCACCATATCATTCTTAGAGTTCAACGTTCATATTGATTCATCATTGCATTGAAAAACATCAACCTCACATAAACCAAACACCAAAACACATAATTCCATAATATATGTCAGAGTTGTGAAAATCAAGGAAGGTGACTGAAGATCCTGGTTGTTGGAGAACGAAAAGTTTTCATTGATCCACACGAGATAGATGAATTCAGAAGATCGGGAGTTGGTGTAGGAGCACGCAATCCAAGAGGGCTTTGGTAATTACAGTTAGGAGGTCAAAAAGTACTAGAGTTAATCGAGTCGACAATACTATAAGTTGATTCGTTATAGTAGATTTTTTATTGGCTTGAGTTTTTTCCGTCAACATTTTCAAGTGTTAGTTATTTTTCAGTAATTTATTATTTGTGGCAATTCAACATAAGATAGTAGTGCATGTGAATTCATCTGGATTAATTAATAACTGTGATTTGTTGCATTTATTAATTGGTAAATTTAAAATTTGCACAAACACCTATTTACCCCGTCTAGGTGTTATTTTGGTCCAACTACGTTATTTCACTTCTTTATTGGCTTTTTTTTATTGAACAACCAAAACCCTATACAATCAAGTTGTCACATGCAAGTTCTTTTCAGAAAATAAGTAAACCCATGAATTAATTACAGTTTTAATTAGATTGTTTAGCGGTCCATATCAGTCACTTTCTTTTTTGACAATAAATTGAGCAAGTGGATTTTCTAATCTCAAGTTGTGATTTGTTGTCTCGCCCCTTGATTGTATTTCATTTTGACACTTCGGTACAAGAATTATTAGTGAATGAAAAAATATCGTATCAAGGTGATTTCACTTATAGCGTGCCGTGTTGTCGTCTTTTTAATAATTATTAAGTATTGATAACCAATCTGTGAAAAATTTAGTGGGGACGATCACATAAATATATCTAATTGAATAATGCTATATATCACCTGTAAAAGGGAAAGTACAAGCAGCAAGAGTTTACATGGTATTGTTTACTCGTGTAGATGATATGAGTTAGGTGGGTTTTTAAAGAGAAGTTGCCATGGAAGAATTTTAGGGGTGGTTTGTTGATTGACGTGTTCTTTATGTTGCATCCGTAGATACTTTCTACTTTGTAGGAAGATAATATATATTTTTTTAATCACGCGTGATTATGCCTGTGCAAGAAGATGGTTGTCAACCATTGTTATCAACCAATATTGTACACTTAGATTTATTCGAGCAAGAATATCTACACACACATTTCTTTTTCATAATTTTTTCTGAATTTATGTAAATCTTTATTATGGGGTTTTCTTCAAATCTTGATTTGTCTACATTTTCACCATTACCCAGTGTTGCATCAGCAAATTTAAGACTACTTACCAAATAACAACCCACCACCAAACATACGAATGCCATAAATTCACGGTTAGGCAAGGAGAAAGGCGAAACAATTAATTGTACGAATTACTCTCTCCGTCCCAATTATATAGGTCGAGTTTCCTTTTTCTCGTCCCAAATATATAGACTTGTTTCCTAATGCAACATTTTTTGTTGTGTTCTTGTACTAATATACCCTTATTAAATTTCCCCACTTAATATGCAAACTTCTTAAAAATTCAAATTTTTTATTAATTCAAATAATAATTTAGTTTTAGACACTGAAAATTAAATAGGGGTAAATTAGGAAAGATTTTGGTAAAAATTAATTTTCCAATGGCATTAAATAAGCTTTCTTAATCCGTGTGAAAAACTAAACAAGCCTATATAATTGAGATGGAGATAGTCGTTTTTAACGAGCACAGTGTGTACGGTTGATTCTTGTTGCCTGCATTTATGGTGGTCCGGCTCCTTAAATGTCAGCTTTATCTGCTAATTAGTTTGTGGGCACTGAACTTTTCATTAGATAATTCTGTTTTACAGAGTAACAGAGTATTGGGTTTGTGCAAAAGGTAAAATGAAGAAATTTGCAGTGACGGTGGAGGAAGGAAAGGATGGGAGAAATTTGCTAAGGTAAAAACTTTATTCATGCAAAGACTTAGTCTTCACTTACAAATAATTAATAATAAATTTCTAACAATCCCTCCTTTAAACTAATATGTAAAAACATGAGTTTAATGAAGACTAGCTACTATGCACCTCCCTTAAATCAGTCTTTCCATAGATACCAAGTAGCCTCCTGAGCTTTTGAAATGAAACAAATTTGAGGGTGTCGTGAAGTTGTTTGCAACTTGATCCTCACTCTTGCAGAAAATAAGATCAATTGCACCATCATTGGTGAGTTCTCGTAGAAAATGATATTTCACATCTATATGCTAGCTTCTTCCATGTAAAACTGGATTTTTCGAGAGTTCAATTGCAGAACTGTTGTCGCAATAAATACGAGTAGGTCTACGTTGCTTAAAATGAAGTTCTCCAAGAATTTTTCTCAACTAAATAACTTGGCAAGCACAAGCCATTGCAGCTACAAACTCAGCTTCTATAATTGATAAAGTGATAAATGACTCCTTAGATGACCATGAGATAGCCCCTGAAACCAACATGAAAATATATCTCGGAGTACTTTTCGATCATTTGAGTCTCGAGGACTTATTATTAAAGATAATAAAGTGCTTTATAGTTTTCAGAATTGGACTCATGGTTCGATGACATGACAACGGGAGGTTCGATGAGTTAGCATCCTAGGTGGCCCACACGTAACATGTTGTGTCACTTAGTCCTGCGTGACAGTTGGTTCAGTTGGACGTGCGCATGGCATCTGCATGGCTGATGACTGTTCAGAAATTGGTGAATAGGTATGATGAAATGACACTACATTTCATGATTTAATTTGGGCCGTCAGATCATGAAATAGTGCGATCTAATGGTTAAGACGAATCAGAGCAAGTGGTGCACTAATTCATGAAATGTCATACACCCATTCAAGGAGACACTTCAATATCTATAAATAGAGACCTTCAAATTCGTTTTTTGTACACCAAATNCACTTCAATATCTATAAATAGAGACCTTCAAATTCGTTTTTTGTATACTAAATCAATTAATATACTTTTGATTTTTAAATTCCTTCTCTCTTCATATTATGAAAAAAATTCCTTCAATATATTCGTAGTTATTTCGATCAAGTACGATCATTTCTTGGTTCGACCTACAAAGTTGGTATTGTGCAATATCGACTTTGGAATGAGCGTTGTATCTTGGGAGACAGACGTCCATAATCCCGTTTGCACGTTGTTGGGGGCGAAATCTGTCTTAAAGAGATTTGCTTTAACATATCTCGCTTCATCTTCTGCTTTTATTTTCTGTTATTTTATTTGTTTTTTCGATTGCGATAGTCGAATTTCCGACAACATTTGACTCATTCAGTAGCAGTTCCGTGAGTTGATTTTATTCAACACGAATAATGCCCCTTAATTGATTTTGGTTAATTTAGGATGATTCCATTCGGCCAAGGAATCTCTCTTTGCCGATTGCATCACCAGCCCGACACATTTTGACACTTTGCACAAGAGTACTCAGTCCAGTAAGCTAGATAGTTTTTCCATGAAAAAGAGTTTGCACAGCAAAATCTTAATAATGTTTTAACTCCATTTAGTGCCATGCAAGCGAACGACGACATGTTGGAACTATATTTATGCCGAGGCAAATAGTAGATGAAGTTGGGGGAAATCACGATAAACTCTATGAAGAAGAAACTTTGTGCACTTTCCTTAAAACGATATTTGCCCATATTCCGATGAATATGTTTTTTGCATCGTGCACAAACAAAAACAACCCTGAACACTGAGAAGAGAAGAAGCCAATTTGGAGAGGCTCATGTTTTGTGTTTCCGGGTTACAGAAACGAATCAAATTTTGAAAAGGATGAAATGCAAGTATGTTGGAAAAATAATGTTTTATGGAAGAGAATTCTATCAAACAACAATCTTATTTATAGATTCTTAAACAAATCTTCCCAAAAGTTGGTCACAATTATTCAAAAATTAGTTACATAACTGAATTTGGGTGAACGTGACGTCAAAATGGGTATGAGCACGAACAGGTGATCTACACAGAGGGCGACCTACGTCCTCCTCAACTTAGAACATTTCAGTGTGAACCCTTGACTCGTGCTAACTCTTTAATGCATACACTACGTGAAAATTCTCCAACATGAGACTAATTTGGCTAACTACAGATGACGCATTGTTTTTACATTTTTTTTTTTAAATGTTTTGAAAAATAAATAAATAAATAAATTCAAATCTTATCATTTTTTACGGTTCGATTTGATTTCAAAGGATGATTTACAAATAATATTGATTTAAAATCTTTATACAAAGGTTAAATTGGTACTTTCAAAATAATTGACAAACAACTCATAATTTGGACTACAGATGCAGCAAAGGGTTTTTGCTTTTAAGTTTTTTCATTTTAAAATGTTTTTGCTTTTAAGCTTTTATCATTTTTAAATTTTGCGTAAGTGATTCGATTTGATTTTTTAACTATCAAAACTTGAATCGTTTTCTAAACAATTTAGTTTGAATCATATTTCAAATTAAAACATTGACGAATCTACGTAAGTCTAAACCAACGACTTCAAGATTTAATTGCTTATTATATTAAGCATTTAATTGAAGTTAAATTATTTTTCTCAAGTTGAATATTTAAAAATTAATTATTATTTATATTTCTTGTTAAAAGCTTTTGCATTAATTCTTATGCTATATTTATTTTTGAAAAACTAATTCATGTTGGATTGTGTCATGTAAACTAGACTATTTCACTTGGTATCATAATTAACAATCGAAAATTTCAATCTTTTTATGAGTA